GTTCAGCAGCAGGTAACCTAGGTTATACAGCTACTCAAGGGTATCTCTAAGAAAACAGGCTTCCTTTTATGTACACGTCCTCTTGTCTTTTTATATGACTTCCACCATTGTGGTCACATTGCCACACCTCTAGGCAGAGTGTCCATTTTCCAGGGAGGGAGGAGAGGAAGGACTTTAGCCTTTTCCTTGTGAGTCTTTGTCGTTTACTTTTATTGGAGAATGGAACTTCCTCCCCTGGGAGTTTTGTTTGTTTGTTTGGTTGGTTGGTTGTTTTTAAGATCTTTTTGTGTTTTCTCACCAGAGAGACAAAAAGCGAGACATCACCACCCAGGTTGGATGGCCACACTGCAATCCCTTCTCCTGTATTTTCCTCTCAGGAATTTGGACATGCACATGCACACAGACACACACACATACACACAATTGGCATGACTCTTAAGTTGTCGGGTTTGGGACTTGAACCAGGGTCGAGCATGTGGGAGTCCAGCACCTTAACCACTTCACCACCTGCTGCTCCCTATCTTCCCCTGGGACTTTTGCCAGTATATCGTAAATTATAACTAGGTCACATGGCCACTCTAGCTGCAAAAAATTCTCAAAAGGTGACAGGTGTGTATGTGCATTGTTTGTTTGTGGGGTTAGGTTTTTGCCTTAGGATGCACACATTCGCCAGAGAGGCAGAGAGAGGGAAAGTGAGAAATCACCCACAGGAGGGATGGCCATGCCACAACCCCTTCTCCATTCTTCTCTCTAGATTTTGGGCATGCATACCAGCACACACAGACACACACACATACACACAGACACACACATGCCCAATATGATTTTTAAGCCACTGGGTCTGGGACCAGAACCATGGTCAGCCATGTGGGAGTCCAGCACCTTAATCACCATGCCACCATGACACAAAACACATGTTTTTTTTTGTTTGTTTGTTTGTTTGTTTGTTTTAACTGGGCATATTGCTGCCATCAAAGAAAATGAGTGGTATAATAGGAGAAGAAAGAATATCCTATAGGAAGCAAGCAGCCTTTTATAAAACTACCTCACTATATGTTCACAAGAATTAACTGGGAGATTAAACTTTGAACAGACTGCCCCGCACACCCATAATAAATGTCTCTTCCTTCATCATCTGTGGGAAACAAGCTGACTACAGGATGCTGGAAGCTGCTGCTTTGGTGAAGATACTCTGGAAACCATGTTGAGAATCTATGGGCCTCACTCTATGGAATCCTGAGGGCCCAGTTTTCTACCCATGGTTTCTGACCCCAGTATGTTAGGTAGTCTAAAGCTTAGCCCGACATCTTGTAAGTATGGATGCTAAGCTTAGGGGTACGCCTAAAGCCAATGACTCGGTGAACCTAATATTTGCTCTGGTTTCCCCTCCCCCTCCCTCCACCCCCACCATCAAATGTGTCCTTAAGGTATGAGGGACATGTCTTATTAGTCTTGTGCTTTTTACTAATCATGTTTGCTTTTTTATTGAATTGAATTGACTCATCTACAAGAAGCTACTTAACTACTACATAAGGAATTGTTACTTAGCAATTTCACTCTCTATAGCAAATACTAAGAGTTTTCACATCTTTTTTTTTTTCCCCTCTTCTTTTGTCTTTTAATCTCCTCTGCCCCCTCACCTCAAAACATCATTTCAGCCCTTTGAAATGGTTATGGAGCAAGTCAAAGTGTACCAGAAAATTCCTATTTATCCGATCTCCTTCAATTACAATGATGAGATTGCAAATGGATTTTTGAGAGAGCTTGCTTCTGTGACTGGAGGAGAGTTCCACTTTTATAATTTTGGTTGCAAGGATACCAGTTTCCTGGAAGCTGTTCAGGTAAGAGCTTGATGGACTGCAAAAGAAGTGGTACTTGAGCATTACAGGCTGGAGGCCCATGGACAGTACCTTAATTGGGGAAACATCAACCATGAGGACAACTAATTTGAGCAAATAAATAGTTTAGCAATAAGTGTACTGATGTTTCTCAACATGTCGTCTGAGAATAACTCAAGCTAGGGCATTTGTAAAAGTTTGCAGACTCCTGGGTCCTGCTTCAGAGCTACTAAATTAGGCAATAGGCATAGAGACCCAGGAATCTTAATTAATAAAGTTTGTTTCCCTCTAAACTTTTTATTATGAAAATTTCAAACATACACAAAAGAGACATCACTCAAATTCAACAAATGTCTACATTTTGCCAAACCTTAGGAATCTGTATTTTTAACAAGGCTTCTAGTAGGTCCATATGATGTATATGGGAAACTTTCAAAAATTTCACATGCTAGATAATTGTATCCTTATTTCTCGGGCTGTATAGCTGTGTGACTATCTAATAAAGCAGCTCCTTCTAATAGAATAATGGGAGAAAGTAGAAATACTCTGTTCAGTCTTAGCCTGAGCACATGCATTTTAACAATGCCATTTTAGAAAGTGTGTTACTGTCTTACTGCATGTCTTGAGGAATGACTTTAAATCCAGGTTAAGTAGGTACTAGGACAGGGCGGAGGTACTGGTCAGTGCTTACAGGTGAGAAAACTACCTGAGCCTGGGGAATGAATCATCTGAAAGGATTAAAGGCAATTGCACTCTGAACTCACACAGGGCTGGGAGTATGACAGCTCCCATCAGCTACACTGGAAGCTGGATGGACTGTACTGAAGAACTTTGCCTCAGTAGCGAGAACAACAAAACGCTGCTCTAGTTCCACCTAGCAAATCTTAAACACAAAATCTGAAAGGATCAACCTGTTTCCAAGGATCTTAACTGCATCCAGAACAAACTCCAGGATAATTACAGGAAACTGAAAATACCCACCACCCAACAAAGCAAAATTGACAATGTCTGGAATCCAATCGAATACTAGCAGGCAGGCCAAGAAGCATGGTGACTGCAATTTAAATTTCCAGATAGATCCATCCGAAACATGTCAGGTTTCCAAATGAGTGCCCATGATCCGATGGACTGGGAGAACAGAGGTAGGGAATCTCTGCATGACCAGACCAGGAGAACTGTAAGTGTGCTCTTCTCTCTCACACACATGCACGTGCATGAGTTCTGTCATGAGTAAAGGAAAAGAGAAAATATCTGGAAAAGTACAAAGGACTATACTCACAAACACTTTAAGACAGAATTGTAAAAAAAAAAAAAAAAAAAAAAAAAAAGCTTAGTTTAAAAAAAGGAAAAAAAAAAAAAAAAAAACCCAGAAACAAGACCAGAGAAAATAAATAGAAAATAAATCATAAAATAGTAGAAGTGCCAACACATATCAACAAATACTTTTAACTCAATGATCTAATAATACCAGTCAAAAGATGGATGATGGCTCAGTGGGTAAAAGAACAAACTGAACTGTGAGGCTCCTTCATGTAGTTCATGGAAAATGGAATTAAAGTGTGAGTTTATTTTGGTGCAGAATTTTAAAAAATTAATCCATATTTTTATTATACACATTTTCCATGAACTTTTTAAAGCCCTCTTTTGTATATGCTGTCTATAAGAAACTCACTTAACGTATGACATAGATAGGTTAGTCTAAAAGGATTTTGAGAAATGTATTATGCAAATATTAATAAAAAACCCAAGTGGGCATATTAATATATGATAAGATAGACTTTAGAACAAAGGAAATCAATTCATCAGGAAGACATAAAGATCTTAAATATGTGTGTACAAACTGATATAGCCTTAAAATATATGAAGTAGAAAGTGATAGAGCTGAAGGGAGAAACAGATAAACACGAGATTATAGTTAGGGACCTTCACACCTCCTTCTCAGCAAGCTGATAGAACTAGTAGACACAGGGCAAGGACAGAGGAGATAAAACAACACAGTAGGATCTAACCCCAGGGATAGAACACTCCACTGCAGCAGCAGAATCCTTTTTTTTTTTTTTTTTTTTTTTTAGGGTTGAAGTGCTGATGAAATATATATCAAAATAGGCCATATACTGGGTTATAAAACAAACCTCGACTAATTAAAAAAAATTAAAGTCATACAGAGTTTGATTTCTGACCATGGTGGAATCAAACTAGAAATCGATAATAGACAACAGAAAAAAATGTCTAAACACATGGAATTTAAACAACGTAGTTCAGAATAATCTATGAATCCAAGGGGAAGTCTCAAAGGAAATTAAAAAAAAGACACTGATAACTGAATGAAAACAAAAACACAGCATATCAAACCATGTGGAATGATGCAGCTAGAAACACTAGGAGTGAAATTATATAGCTTTAAATGTTTATACAGGAAACAAGGAAAAGTCTCGAATCTATAATCTAAGTTCCTATCCAAAGAAACTAGAACCAGAAGAGCCAAATAAACCCAAGTTAACACTAAGAAGAAAATAACAAAGATAAAAAAATCAACAAAATTAAAAATAGGAATATACTAGCGAAAAATCAGAGCAACAAAAAAGCTGTTTCTTGGGGAAAACTCAAAAATTGGTAAAATCTCTTATAAGACTGACAAAGACAAAAAGAGCAGACACCGAGCATTAAAATCTTGCAGCCATTAAAAAGGTAACAAAGGAATACAACAAATAACTTTGCCTTCATAAATTGGATCATTTAGAAAAAAGTAGGGTGCCAGCCCATATGCAATGGATAAGCATAGTGAATTGGGAGCCAGATCCCACATGGCCAGCTGGAATCCGGGTGCCTGCTGGCTTGAAAACCCTGCTGGGTACATGTGCATGAATGCCCCAAATCCCAACAGAATGAGAAATAGAGGAGAAAGAACTGTGGCGCAACTATGCTCCATTGATAAGTCGTCCCCCCCCCCCCCCCCTTCTTCTCGTGACGAACTCCCCCCCCCCACTCTCTCTGGTGAACACATACCCCCTCTGGCAATTAAAAAATAAAGAAGTAAGGGCAAAGAAGACCCCTTCCACCAAAAGTCACAACATACAGAAACTTAAGACAAAATGGGCCTTGTGAATAGCACTAAAATTGTTAAAGAAAATGATGTGAAATACCACTTCTCCACCATAGAAGAAACTTAGAAGCTGCCATTCTGAACTGACAAGTAAAAAACTGAACAAATTAAAAACATTCTTTGATTGTAAGAGAAGTGATGTCACTGGGGAAACCATTGCCCCCAGTCTTGAAAGACCAATTAGGTGAATGCAGAGAATCACAACTTACCAGAGCAGAAAGATCTGTAGGAACCAAGCATCTGGTGGGAAACTTGAACTGTAACTGAGAAATTGCTGGAAGCTCAAATTGCTGGTGTTCAAATCTGAGAGATTAAAAATGACAAGGAGATCTAGTCACGGGGTGGGGTGGG